GGCGCCGGGCCCTGCCGCTAAGTTATTGGCCCCAAGCCACGCTTTTCAACACCCTCTCGAGTTTCCGGCTCTCTGATTCATCAGTGTGGACGTCCATCAAAAGAAACTGAACCCTCAAAGGTAGCGGAGCCCGTCACTCCCGCAAGGAAGCGGCGGGCTAAGAATAAAGGGGTGGGACCTAAGAAGCCAGGATTGGTTTGTGAGTCTAAAACCTGCCTTCTGGTTCGACCAAAGGGACGTCAATCTACCCCAAAGCTTTGCCGCGCTCTCAGGCTGGAGGCCGTACGCATGCGCAACACGCAAGGCCGGATGGGAGTTGTAGTCGGCGCCTACGTATTTTAAATGTCTTACCGAATTAAAAAGTGGAGAAAGGAAAATCTCTTTCTTCAGACTTCTCCGGCTCTCGGTGAGCCAGTTTCTGGTGTCTGTCGTTGACGTCACGGAAGGAATGTGGTGACGCAGCGCCGCCTTCTGTGACGTCTGCGACTGAGGCTGTGCTCTCATTTCGATGACGTCACCGGGCGCGCTTCTCCACGGCCCTGGGCATTAACGAGGGTGGGTGGGGCGCAGGAGGCCGAGGATGGGTTCGATTCCAGGTCTCGGACACGAAGCGACCTCCTCCTCCACCTAGGCGGATTTTGAAGCTCTGCTGCCGCGCCCTTTCCCGCCTGCCCGCCCCATCGGGCCGGGAAAGGTCACAGCTTCCGAGGCGACAGCTGCTATCTCGGTGCTGCAGGCGACACGGCTGCCCCCGGGAAAGGTCTCCTGCTGGCGGGGACTTAATGAGCTTCATCAACCGCGGGCGATAAGCAAAGGTCAGCGCCCGGCCCTTTCCAGGGGAGCTCGGGCCGCCCAGCAGGGCTGAGACCCACAGCGCCCACCCCCGCAGCGCCCTCCATTCCTGCCTCAGTTTCCCTAGGTCGCTGGGCACGATCGGAGGAAAAGCAGAGACAGAAGCAGGTCCTGGACTAGCGTGATCATCACAGGGGGGGTTGCAAAAGCTTGAGTCATCCGGATAAAAAAATATTCAAAAGCGTTCTTTTTATGTTATCAACCTTGGTGGGAGAAAAAAAATCCATGAGAAACTATCACAATGTTAAGATAGGATCCGTGAGCGCTGGGATGAGGGTCAGGTGAGTCCGGTAAGTGGGATTGGCTCTCATCTTCAAAAAAAAAAAAATTTTTTTTAAATTTTTGTAAGTATTCGTATTATTTTAACTTTATTTATTTATTTATTTATTTATTTTAATTCGACCAGAGAGAGAGAGAGAGAGAGAGAGGGAATGTGAGAAAGCAAGCCACCAGGTCTGGGACTCGAACCATAGTCAGCCATGTAGGTGTCCGACTCCCCTAACCACCATGCCACCTGCTGGTCCCAGAGAGCATTTCTTTGGAAATATATTCATAGACTGGACTCGTGGCCTAGTGTGAAAGAGCTAGATTCCACCTGACTAACGGCAGTTCGAATCCTGGCTCTGGTGGTTTGAAAAACGCTAGGTGGGTCTGTGCACGTGTGCCTAAAATCCCAAGAGAAGAACAGAGCAGAAGGGATTGAGATGTGGCCATCACACCCCCCTCCCACCCTGGGGTGATTTCTCACTTTCCCTCTCTGTCTCTCTCTCTCGTGAGCACACTTTCGTTGTACCAAAAACAAAACCAAACCATCACACCTCATTATACCATTGGAGGTAGCTCTCAAACAATTCCCTGCTGGAAAAAAGTAAGGACGATCTTGTGTTTTCCTTAGTAGCTATGTTTCATGGCTAAGAAGAATGCTAGTTTGGGGGAGTGGGGGCAGCAGGTGGTGTGGTGCTTAAGGTGCTGGGCTCCTACATGGCCAACCACAGTTCAAGTCCCAGACCTGGCATCTTGCTTTCTCACGTTCTGTGTCTCTTTCTGGTCTAATTGAAAAATAAATAATAACAAAATTAGATAAATAATTCTTTTTTGGGGGGAACCAGCAGTTAGCATAATGGCTATGTCGCTGGACTTCCACGTAGTTGACCACGGTTCATGTCCCGGACCCGGTGCCTTAAACTCACGCTGGGCACATATGCATGCGTGCCCAAGATCCCGAGAGGAGAATGGAGGAGCCGGGACTGCGGCGTGACCATCCCCCCTGGGGGGTGATTTCTCACTTTCTGTCTCTATGTCTTTCTCTGTCTGTCTGGTGAGCACACACGCCCTATAGCGAAAACCTCTCAAAAAAAAAAAAATTCTTTTTTTTTAAAGGGGGAATGAATGAAAGGATTAGAAAATATCTGGAAAAAAAAAATCTGGCAAATGTAAAAATACACAGGGGTGGCAGGTGGCGTGGTGGTTACGGTGTGGACTCCCACATGGTTGACCGTGGTTTGAGTCCCAAACCTGGAAGCTTGAAATTCACATCAGGCACTTCTGCATGTGTGCCCAAAAATCCCAGGAGGAGAAGGGATGGTGGCATGGCCATCCCCCCCACCCAGGGAAGATTTATCCCTCTGCCTCTCTGGCAAGTACACATTCCCTATAGCAAAAAAAAAAAAAAAAACTCTCTAAAAATAAAAAGAAAACTAAAACACAAGGGGGATGATGTTGAGAAATAAGAGAAGCTCAGGGCACAGGAGGGTTTGCTGGTTATAGAAAAGCAGATGTCACTGCGGTGACTGTCACCACCATTAGCTGTAATGGAGCTCAGCGTCACAGCCAAGGGACAAACAGACCTGGAGGGGGGTGTCCTGGCATGGGACAGTAGGAAGCTCACAGCTTTTCCTAGGACACATTTTGCTCAACGGTTAAAGCTGGCTCTGACCAAATCTCTCCACTTCGCATCCGGGTTTACAGGGAATGGAGAGACGTGGGAAAGGTCAAAAGAACACACTGACAAGCGACAGGCAAGCCCAGGAGGTGGGGTGACACGCAGGACAACTGTCCCAGTCTCCAGCAAGGTAATCATTGACAAACAAAAACAAAGGCGGGGTCAGTCGGTGGCGCGGGGGCTAAGGCACTGGACTCCCGCATGGCCAACTGTGGTTTGAATCCCACATCTGGTGGCTTGTTTTTTCACTCTTCCCCTCTCTCTCTCTGACTCTCTCTGGTCAAATTAAAAATGAATCATAATAATAAATAAAATAATTCTTTAAAAATGAAGAAAGAGGAGGCCAACAGGCGGTGGGGTGGTTAAAGTTATTGGACTTCCACATGACTGACCATGGTTCAAGTCCCGGACCTGGCAGCTTGCTGCTTCTCTCTCTCTTTCTTTGTCCCTCTCTGGTCAAATTAAAATAAATAAAGATACATTTTTAAAAATTCTTTTTTAAAAATGGGAACCAGCAGTTAGCATAATGGCTATGTCGCTGGATTCCCACATAGTTGACTGGGGTTCACATCCTGGACCCGGTGGCTTAAACTCACACTGGGCACGTGTACGTGCGTGCCCAGGATCCCGAGAGAAGAGTGGAGGAGAAGGGATTGCGGCGTGACCATCCCCTCTGGGGGGGTGATTTCTCACTTTCTGTCTCTCTGTCTCTCTCTCTCTGGCGAGCACACGTGCCCTATAGCAAAAACCTCTCCAAAAAAAAAATGCATAAAGGGAATATTTTAAAGATTTTTTTATTTTATTGGTTATTATTATTATCAAGATTATGACTTAATTACACCAGAGAGAGAGAAAGAGACATGAGAAAGCAAGCCGCCAGGTCTGGGACTCGAATCAGAGTTGGCCATGTAGAAATCTAGCACCTTAGCCACCATGCCACCTGCCGGGCCCATGTAAAGGGAATTTTGATAAAGGGAGATTTCGGTATTTGTTTAGTGAAAAAATACAGGAGGCTGAGTCCGCTGGTGATGTGGTGGTTAAGTCACCTGGATCCCCATGTGGTCTGCTATGTGGTTCAAGTCCCAGACCTGGTGACTAAAAAACATGGTGGGTATGCCCAAAATCCTATGAAGAGACTGGATGAGATTGTGGTTTGGCCATCCCCCCAGAGGATGGGAGGTGCTGTCTCATTTTGTCTCTCTCTCTCTGTCTCTCTCCTGTGAGCATATACACCCTTTAGCAAAAACTAAAGCAAAATAGGACCAGCAGATGCTGTAGTGGTTACATCGCTGGACTCCTATGTAGCCAGCCACGGTTCTAGTCCCAGACCTGGAGGCTTGAAATTCATGCTGGGCACAGGCGCTTATGTGTCAAAAATCCTGAGAGGAGAATGGAGGAGAAGGGATTGCAGTGTGGCCATCCCCCCTGGGTGGTGATTTCTCATTTTCTGTCTCTGTCTGAATCTGGTGAATGCATGCACCCTATAACAAAAATCTCTTTAGAAAAAAAAAAAATCTTGGGGACCAGCAGGTGGCATGGTGGTTAAGGTGCTGGACACACCCACGTGGCCTACCATGGTTTGAGTCCCAGACCTGGTAGCTTGCTTTCTTACTTTCCTTCTCTTCCCCCTCACCCATGTGTGTCTCTCTCTGGTCAAATTAAAATAAAATGAATGAACAAATAAAAAAGTAAACAAAATATAATTTAAAAAAAAAGAAAACTAAATGAAACAAGACAAAAAAAAAATTAAAAACCAAACAATTCTTTTCCTACAGTTCTGGAGGCTGGAAGTCCAAAGGAATCGGCAGTCCACACTCCCTCCACAACCTGTAGGGGAGAGTCCTCCTGGTTCTTCCAGCCCCTGGGGACTCCAGGCTTCCTTGGCCTCTGTCATCGCATAGAATTTTGCATTCTGTCTGTGTCCTCAACTCTTCTGTCTCTTATAAAGACACTTGTCCCTGGATTTAGGTACCTTGGATAATCCGGGATGATCTCATTGAAAGGATCTTAATTCCATCTGTGGAGACTGAGACCCTTTATCCGAATAAGAGCAGAGTCATGAGTCCCAAAGGCTAGCAAGGCTCCTCACTTCAGGAAAGGGCTGGCTCCACAAGACAGCAGCAACGCTCTGCTCAGAAACCAACCTCAGGGCTAGCAGGTGGCATTGGTGGTTAGGGGCACTAGACTCCCACATGGCTGACCACAGTTCGAGTCCTGGACCTGGTGGCTTGCTTTCTCACTTTCCCTTTCTTTCTCTCTCTGTCAAATTTAAAATAAATAAATTTTTTAAAAATTGTTTTAAAAAGAAGCCAATCTCTTGGGGCTGGCAACTGGTATGGTGGTTAAGGGTGCTGGACTCCCACATGGCTGACCGTGGTTTGAATCCCAGGCCTAGCAGCTTGCTCTCGTGCTTTCTCTTTCTCTCTCTCTCTATCTTGCTCTGTCCCTCTCTGGTCAAATAAAATAAATAAATAAATACGATTAAAATAATTTTTTTTTTGGAGAGGTGTTTGCTATAGGGCGCGTGCGCTCGCCAGAAAGACAGAGAGAGAGAGACAGAAAGCGAGAAATCACCCCCCAAGGGGGATGGCCACACCACAATCCCTTCTCCTCTGTTCTCTCGGGATCTTGGGCACACACGCACACACGCCCAGCATGAGTTTAAGTGACCGGGTCCAGGACTCGAACCATGGTCAACTACATAGGAGTCCAGCGACGTAGCCATTATGCTAACTGCTGGTCCCAATAAAATAATTCTTTAAAAGAAAAAAAAAAAAGCCATTCTCAGGGCCAGCATGTGGCATGGTGGTTAAGGCAATGGATTCCCAGGTGGCCAACCATGGTTCAAGTCCTGGACCCAGCAGCTTGACTGGAAATTATGCCAAAGGCGTGTGTGTGCCCAAGATCCCGAGAGGAGAATGGAGGAGAAGGGATTGTGGCGTGGCCATCCCCCCTGGGGGGGTGATCTCACTTTCTGTCTCTGTCTCTCTCTTTCTGGCGAGTGCATGCGCCCTATAGCAAAAACCTCTCCACAAATTAATTAATTAATTAACTAAAGAATATAATGCTAAATAAAATGAAATAAAATCATTATAGAAAAAGAAAACATTTAATTTCCCAGAGAATGCATATGGAGAAAAAAAAGACACAGAGATTTCAAATTTTTCTTGCATCACATCACCTCGTACTTTCATCCCAACGTTCCCACGAACTTTTGGAAGTCCCCTCCTAACTTTCTGCAAGGCACCATTCAACCCACCCCACTTCCTGGGTGCCCTGGGGGTGTGGGATGCTTTCTATAATTTCACAACCCAGGAAGCACGTCTGGCTGATTATGTCTGTCCTCTGTGAGCTCAGAGCTGTACGGGGCGTTTGTTCAAGGTCATGGAAGAACCGGATTCCAATCCAGCTTGACGGAGTCTGAAACGCTGATTCGCTTGTCGGTGAGACATAACAGGCGTCTCAGGCCAGCCGGCGTCTTGGTGGTTGGGGTGCTTGACTTTCACATGGCCGACCACGGTTCGAATCCTGGACCTGGTGCCTTCAAAATCACACTGGGCATGGGGCTGGTGGGTGGTGTGGTGGTTAAGGACGTTGGACTCCTACATGGCTGACCATGGTTCAAGTCCTGGACTTGGTGACTTGCTTTCTCACTTTCTCTCTCTCTCTCTCTTTCTGTCCCTCCCTGGTCAAATTTAAATAAATAAAGTTAAATAAAATAATTTTTATTAAAAAAAAAAAAAAACCACCAGGCACGTATGTGGGCATACTTGGAATCCCTGGAGGAGAAGGGATTATGGTGTGGCCTTCTCCTTGGGACGTGACTTCTCTTTCTCTCTCTGGTGAGCACACATACCTTCCAATAGGAAAAAGAAAGAAAGAAAAGGAAGAAGTGGAGGTGAGGGTAGTAAATGGTGTAGCTGTTATGTCACTGGACTCTCACATAGGAGACTATGATTCGAGTCCCAGACCCGGTGGCTTAAACTCACGCCAGGCGCGTGTGCGTGCGTGCCCAAGATCCCGAGAGGAGAATGGAGGAGAAGGGACTGCGGCGTGGCCAGCCCCCCTGGGGGGTGATTTCTCGCTTTCTGTCTCTCTGTCTCTCTGTCTCTCTCTTTCTCTGGCAAGTATTAAGTCCCTAGAGCAGAAATGTCTCAGGGCCGGCAGGTGGCGTGGTGGTTAAGGGCTCTGGACTTCCACATGAGCGACTGCAGCTTGAGGCCCCAGATCTGGTGGCTTGCTTTCTCACTTTCCCTCTCTCTGCTCAAATGTAAAATAATAATAACAATAATAATGCATCAAAACATAAAACAGAGTGGATTACTCATCAGGCCTTTCCACACAATCCAGGCAGCCGTGACCCCGGTCATCTGGAGCGCGGTACAGCAGACATGACGGTGTCGTCTGGATCGCTGCTCTTGGCCTTTGACCCCCGGGGGAGGGGATGGGGCGTGCAGGCCAGGCGTGTGTGCTGAGAAGAGGACAAAGGAATACAGCTCTCTACCTCTGCTCCACAGCTAAGTCCCACCTACCGCAGGCCAGAGGCCGGGGTAGGAATTTGATGCGCTCAATGATTTTTTTCGTTTGTTTGTTTGTTTTCAGTTTTTGCTGCAAAACTTTCCTTCAAGAGAGAGGGAAAGTGAGAGATCCCCCCCCCCTCAGGGGTGATGTGTCCATGCCACATCCCTCCTCCATTCTCCTCTCAGGATTTTGGACACACACACACGCACACCTATTGTGCTTTTCAAACTACTGGGTCTGGGACATGAACCGAGCAGTTCTCCATGTGGGACCCACCTGCCTGAACTACCGTGCCACCAACTAGCGCCTTCACATGCTCATTCGCCAGGTAAGAAAACCAAGGCACAGCAAGGTTATGTGGCTTACCTAAGGACACACAGCAAGAAAGCAGCCAGAAAAAAAAAAAAGTGTTTTCCTTTAAATGGGACCAACAGGTGGCATGGTGATTAAGGCGCTGGACACTCCCACATGGCCAACCAGAGTTTGAGTCCCAGACCTGGTGGCTTGCTTTCTTACCTTTCCTCTCTGTGTTTCTCTCTGGTCAAATTTAAAAAAAAAAAGGGGGGGGGCAGAACTGGGATCTGGGATTCGAACTAGGCCTGCTTACCACCTGTGTCCCTGTTCTGTTTTTTTTTTTTTTTTTGGAGAGATTTTTGCTACAGGGCGCATGCGCTAGCCAGCCAGACAGAGAGAGACAGAGAGAGAGAAAGCGAGACATCCCCCGCCAGGGAGTATGGCCATGCTGCGATCCCTTCTCCTCCATTCTCCTCTCAGGATCTTGGGCACGCATGCACACGGGCCCGGCGTGAGTTTTAAGCCACCGGGTCCGGGACTCGAACCGTGGTCGACTACATAGGAGTCCAGCAACATAGCCATTATGCCAACTGCTGGTCCCACTGTTTTTCTTTTTCATGAGAATGATCTTATTTAACTTTATTTATGTATTTATTTAAATTTGACCAGAGAGGGACAGAGAGAAAGCAAGCCACCAGGTCCGGGACTCAAACTGCACATGGTCATGTGTGATTCCAGCATCCCTAACCACCATGCTACCTACAGCCCCCCCCCCCCATTATTCTGTTTCTAAACTGAGATGAAATTGACCAAACACAGAGTTAACTCATTTATTTATTTCTTTTTGTATATGCCAAAGGACATGTGTACTCACCAGAAAGAGAGAGAGGGAAAGAACGCCCCCTTAGGAATCATACCGATCCCTTCTCCTCCACCTCTGCCTTCTTCCAGAATAGTGACCACGCACGCACGTATGCCCAGCATGTTTCTCGACCACAAAATTATTATTATTTTACTGTTTTTGCAATAGGGCATGTGCATTTGCCAGAGAGAGACAGTGAGAGGGAAAGTGAGAAATCATCCCCTGGGGGGAAATGGCCACACCACAATCCCTTCTCCTCCATTCTCCTCCCTAGATCTTGGGCACGCACGCACACGCGCCTGGTATGAGTTTCAAGGCACCAAATCCAGAACTCGAACTGTGGTACTCCATAGGAGAGTCCAGCACCTTAACTACGATGCCACTGGCTGGCCCAAACAAAATTATGATTTTTTAAAAAATAATTATTTAATTACATTTGTTATTCTTATTTTTTTTTTTTAATTTGGCCAGCGAGAGAGACAAAGAGAATGTGAGAAAATAAGCCACCAGGTCCAGGACTCAAATCGCACTTGGCCGTTGTGGGAATCCAGCATCTGTTTTTGTTTTTCTTGAGAGGTTTTTGCTATAGGGCGCGTGCGCTCGCCAGAAAGACAGAGACAGAGACAGGGAGACAGAAAGTGAGAACTCACCCCCACTGGGGGGATGGCCACGCCGCAATCCCTTCTCCTCCATTCTCCTCTCAGGATCTTGGGCACGCACGCACACGCACCTGGCGTGAGTTTAAGCCACTGGGCCCAGGACTCGAACTGCGGTCGACTACATGGGAGTCCAGTGACATAGCCATTACGCCAACTGCTGGTCCCGGAATCCAGCATCTTTAACCCCCATGCCACCTGCTGGTCCCTAGTTTTTAATCATGGTAAACAACACAAAACAAAAGTCTACCGATGGCATGGTGGTTGGGACAGGTGGGTCCCAAATGGTATAGGTTCATGTCCCAGGCCTGGTGGCTTGAGAAACCCACCAGGCCCGTATGCATATGTGTCCAAAATCCTGGGAGGAGAATGAGAAGGGATTGCAACATGGCCATCCCACCTGGGGGGTACTTTCTCGCTCTCTCTCTCTCTTTCTCTCCAGCAAGTGCACACTCCTTATTACAAACTAGGAGGAAAAAAAACCTTTTTTTTTTTTTAAGTTATAGCAGTGTTGGGACCAGCAGATGGTGGAATGGTTACATCGCTGGACTCTCACATAGTCGACCACGGTTTGAGTCCCCGACCCAGCAGTTTAAACTCACGCTGGGCATATGTGGGTACGTGCCCAAGATCCCAAGAGGAGAATGGAGAAGGGATTGCAGCGTGGCCATCCCCCCAGGGGGTGATTTCTTGCTTTCTGTCTCTGTCTCTCTGTCTCTCCAGCAAGTACACAGGCCCTATAGCAAAAATCTCTCTTAAAAAAAAAAAAATAGGGACCAGCAGGTGGTGTGATAGTTAACAAGAGCTGGATTCCCACATGGTTGACCACGGTTCAAATCCTGAAACTGGCAGTTTGCTTTCTCTCTCTCTCTCAGGTCGAATTAAAAATATAAATAAATACAAATAAGTAAATGGATAAATCAACTTAAATAAAATAATTCTTTTAAAAAATGATAGCTGTGCTTGGCCCATCACGTAAGCATGTCTCTCTCACAGGGGAGACAAATACATTTTATATTATGCTGGAGAGGTCTGGAACCCTGGCTCTGAAGGGTTGGGTCTTGCCCTCCCACCTCACTCGGCGGGGAGATGTGTCTCTGGTCTCTGCAGATTAGAGACCTCTTCGCCTGCGTCTGTCACAGCCGGCCATGCACCGGGCCACGTCACCCCCTTGCTAAGGAAAGGTTATCACTTGGTTGGAGAAGCGGGAAAGGTCGGGTTGGCGGGGGTCGTGCGCACCTCGTTTCTGCTGGAAGAGATAAAGGACGCCTCTCAGCCTCCTTCCGACCAGGCTGGGGGGAGCTCCTCGGTATAAATAGGGGACCCGGAGGAGGAAGGGACGCGAACTCCCACTCGCGGCGGAGGCGTCTCTGTCCGTCATGGCCAGGCGCGCTCTGCTGTCCCTGCTGACGCTGTGGGTGCTGGCTGGGGACCTGCCGCTGGGGCCCGGGGCCCGAGGCCCGCCCTGCACCGTATGGCGTGAAGCTCTGCGGCCGCGAATTCATCCGCGCCGTCATCTTCACCTGCGGGGGCTCGCGGTGGAGACGCTCGGATTCCCTGGCCGGAGAAGCTGTGGGTGAGGCTGCAGAGGGCGTGCATCTGGGTGGACCCGGGAGGACACTCGGGGACGGAGTAGGGTCCCCCCCTTTATCCAGCCGGGGCTCAGGTGCAGGCAGGCACAACACCCTCTGGGGCTAGAAGACAGTGGAGGAGGACCAGCAGGTGGCGTGGTGGTTGAGGTGCTGGACTCTTACATGGCTAATGGTGGTTCAAGTCCCGAACCTGGAGGCTTGCTTTCTCCCACTTTTCCTCTCTCTCTCTTTGGGCAAATATAAAATAATAATAATGGGAGGACCAGCAAGCAGATGGTGTAATGGTTACATCACTGGACTCCCACGTAACACTGGTTCGAGTCCCAGACACAGCGACTTAAAATTCACATCGGGCTCGTGTACGGGGAGACCTGGACAAGAGAATGGAGGAGAAGGGATTGTGGTGTGGCCATCCCCCACCCCTCCAGGGAGGGTGATTTCTCAGTTTCTGTCTCTGTGTCTCTGGAGAGCACACATGCCCTATAGCAAAATCTCTGTCTACAGAATAATACTAATGATGATGATGATAGTAATGGGACCAGCAGGTGACATGGTGGCTAAGGTGCTGGACTCCCACACGGCTGACCGTGGTTCAAGTCCTGGACATGGCAGCTTGCCTTCTCACCCGTCTCTGTCTCTCTCTGGAGAGCACATGTACCTTATAGAAAATTTACATATCTATATATCTATATATACTTAAGAAACACTTTAAATACTCAATAAATGACTACTACTATTTTGAGTACAATCATGTGCCGGACATTGTTTTAATTTTTTTTTTTTTTGAGAAGTTTTCGCTATAGGGCACGTGCGCTCGCCAGACAGACAGAGACATAGAGACAGGAAGCGAGAAATCACCCCCCAGGGGGGATGGCCACGTCGCAATCCCTTCTCCTCCATTCTCCTCTCGGGATCTTGGGCACGCACGCACACGCGCCCGGCGTGAGTTTTAAGCCACCGGGTCCGGGACGCGAACCACAGTCGACTACGTGGGAGTCCAGCGACATAGCCATTACGCTAACTGCTGGTTCCCTTAAAATTTTTTTATGGGTATTAACACCTCTTCTCCTTATAAAACGTGGCAGTTATTACGCACTCCTTTGCAGACAAGAAAACTGAAGCCCGGAGAATTAACTTCTCCACTCACAGTTACAGTGAGGAGAGGCTGGGTTCCTGCCCGGTCAGCCTGGTTCCCCAGGGCATGCTTTACACCACCAGGTCCTCAATCAAGAAAGAGTAGAAAGAGGGAATCAGCAGTTAGCGTAATGGCTATGTCGCTGGACTCCCACGTAGTTGACCATGGTTCGTGTCCCGGACCCGGTGGCTTAAAACTCACACCGGGCGCGTGTGCGTGCATGCCCAAGATCCCGAGAGGAGAATGGAGGAGAAGGGATTGCGGCGTAGCCATCCCCCCTGTGGGGTGATTTCTCGCTTTCTGTCTCTATGTCTCTCTCTGTCTGTCTGGCAAGTGCACGTGCCCTATAGCGAAAAATCCTCTCCAAAAAGAAAGAAAGAAAGAAAGAGTAGAAAGAAAGAAATGACAGGAGACTAAAGGCAAGCTCAATAAGACTGAAGAATGCATCCAGCAATGCCGGTAGCAGAATGAGATTCGAACCCAGGACTGAGTGGAATCCAACGCTTGAACTGTGAGGCTGGGTCTCGAGAGCAGAGAAGCAGCCAGGTCTGCCAGGAGCCAGGATTCTGGCTGTGGCGGTGTCCGAACCCCTTCCTGTGTTTCCCCCTTCAAATATCTTTTTTTTTTTTTTGAGAGATATTTGCTATAGGGTACATGATTTCGTCCGAGAGACAGAGAGACAGAAAGCGAGAAATCACCCCCCGGGGGGGATGGCCACACCACAATCCCTTCTCCTCCATTCTTCTCTCGGGATCTTGGGCACGCATGCACATGCGCCTGGCGTGAGTTTAAACCACCGGTTCCAAGACTTGAATCACGGTCGACTACATGGGAGGCCAGTGACATAGCCATTACACCATCTGCTGGTCCCTCATTATTATTATTTCTTAAAGAACTTATTTCCTTAATTTTCTTTCTTATTTAATTTGGGCAGAAAGGGAGAGAGGGAAAGTGACAAGCCGCCAGGTTCAGGACTCAAACCACGGTCGGCCATGTGGAAGTCCAGCGCCTTAACCACCACGCCCCCTGCTGGCCGCTGTCTGAACCCGTCTCATCTTTTGCAGGCGATGCCTTCTTGAACGCGGAAGCCGATACAGACCGCCTGGCTGGAGAGCTGGATGAGGCTGTGAGCTCCAGCGAGTGGCTGTCCCCGAACAAGTCCCCCCAGGCCTTTTATGGGGGGCGACCTGGCTGGCAGGGAACCCCAGGGGCTCCTCGGGGCAGCCGAGATGTCCTGGCTGGCCTGTCGGGCAACTGCTGCAAATGGGGGTGCAGCAAAAGTGAAATTAGCAGCCTGTGCTAGTGCGGGGTTAGGGTTAGGGTTAGGGACCCTGGCGGGGCTCAGGTCTGGGAGCCTCGCGCATCCATTGGTCTGCAGGCTCCAGAGACCAGGCGCCGGGGGGCCCCCCAGCACAATCCCTCACCCCAACCCACCACCCTCCACCCCCTCTTTGCCTTCCAGCCCCTCTCCCTCCAGCCCCCCTGCCCCATCCCTAAGACTGGACCTGGGGGATAGCGGGTCCAGACAGTGGGTCCTCCCCGCCCCGCCC